TTGCTGCGATCTGCAACAAGAAAAATTACTAGTTAATGAAAAAAATTCATGTAACTTATCAATACAAGAAATTTTTTCTAATGTTGCCCATGGTATTCTTGAACAGAACAATGGTTTATTTTTAAAACAGAGTTTAAAGAGCTTATAGTTTGCGATATTAAAGCTATAGAACTAAGACTCAGTAGAGGTCTGCATTCTCTAAAATAACTCGACAAAAAGCCAATAAAGAACACTGGGAATCTAAACTTGATAAAATTTTAGACATTGCTTTTTGCAAATGCAAAATTGTTTACTGTGGTAAGAATGATGCCCCTTGCAATAATAATAGTGCTTATTGTCTTTGCAAATGTGACTTAAATTTTAGAATTCCACAAAAAGAGACATTTGGATTAAAACTCAGCTAGAAAAACAAGGTAGTGTTTCATCTGCCAAGCTTAGGTTCAAAAACTTTTGTAAGTCAGAGTTGTTGAGAACATTTTATTCATCTGCTGTTAGATTTGGCGCTAAAAATATATATTTGGAAGCAGAAATGAATAATAATTCTGAAATCGATATAGTCAGTGAATGCGATAAAGTCAGTGATAGTGATAAAGTCAGCGATAACGATAAAGTAAGTGATAGCGTAGAAGAATCAACATTATAAAAACAAGAAAATTATCTTAAACAAAATTACCTTGATATTAGCAATGCTGCCATTGCCTCTGTCAGATTTAGTGTGCCATCGACTGCTATTGCTATCATTAACAGTTTTCTGATAGATATTATAAAGGCAGGGAAACTTGTTAAAGATAAAAATAATCTCATTTGTGATAGCATGAAAGTTTTTGTGCCAAAGAGCATGCTATGAAGTGTTATAGAATAGAAGAAAATATAGACTTTGAAAGAAATATAATCACTGGAATTTTTGTTGATGGTAGAAAAGATAAAACTCTAATCTTTATGCATGATAAGACCACAGGTATCTTCAGAAAAATAATTATTTAAGAATACCATATAACTGTGGCCGAGGAGCCTAGAGGTTGCAACCTTACTCATTATACACCAGAGCCTAAATCTGAAATATGTAAACCAGCCAAACAATGTGCTAATGGATTATTTAACTGGTTGATGGAAAGAGGTAAAGATCTTAATCTCCAACTAATTGGTAGTGATACTACAAATAAAATGTCTTGATGAGAAAGTGGAATGCTTCATTTTGTGGAGGAACTTATCCATTGAAAATCTTTCAGATCTTTTTGCTGGCTTCACATTAATGAGTTTCCATTTTATCATATTGTGGAAAAACTTGATGGGCCAACTTCTTCAGAACAAGGTTGGTGTGGAGCAGTTGGTAAACTGTTTTCTAAAGTTGATAATCTTTAAAGAATTACTAAATTTACACCAATTCCTTTTCTGGAGCATTTAGTTAATACTGTTGAAGATTTTGTTAAACAAATGAGAACTGACAGTTTAATTGCTTGGAAGTATTTGAATGCAATATTTAAAGGAAACCTTGATCCTGGCTTTCTTCTAGCATGAGATGCTTGCTTCTATTTATGAGCAAGCATGATCTTAAACCTGAGAATGCAGAAATCTTAAAGCTCCTTGCAACTTGGGTGACATAGGTTCATCTTCCAATACTTTTTGAAATTAAAGTAAATCATGGTATTAAATACGGTTCTGGTCATCTTTTAAAGCTATTTCGACTTTGGCAGAAGCAAGATGGGTTAACTAAGGCTTTAAACCTTATCTAAAAAGTGAATGACTGAGAATATACTTGTTGTACTTCTCTGTTCTGATAACTCAGAACAAATGTCATTTGCAGCTGACATGATATTATCTTTCAAAGTTTCACAAACAATAAACCTTGATGCTTCTGAAATCAAAGAATTTATCAGTTGAAAAAAAGAAGTCATTACTGAACCAGTTTTCATAGAAAATTTGTCATTTGCCCAACTTAATGCATTGAGAGTTTTTCCCTGAGTGCTTCTTTTATATTCATTGCATACCCAAAGTGGTGTAATGCCAGTCATATTAGTTACCAAGCAGTTGAGTCAGTCTGAGATTGGGATAAAAGAGATAGTTTTGTATGAACTCAATTGCGAAATTGAGAAAAAATTCCTTTGATGAAATCAAAAAAAAGACTTTGTTTAAGTGACCAATGCTAAAAAAACTATATTGTAAACTGTTTAAAACTTTTATTCTCTCGTTTTCATACAGAATGATTATGTATTTAGTTAGTAATAATTTTTTATTATTAATTTGATATTATATGGTTATTATTACTGTATTTGTTACTTGGTTGTTTTATTTTCAAGCTTGTTAAAAGTTTTAAGTTGTTTTTATTAATTTTTTAAAATTGTTTTTGTAACTATGGCATTCCCACTATTTGAATGAAGGTTGTTTGTGTGTTTTTTTAGGTATGTGTGAGCGGGTGGGGGGGAGGGGGTTGGTAAGACAATTCTATTCTCTT